TCGCCTTGCTGACAAAACCGTTGTATTTTCCGAACATGAAGTTCTAAAGTAGTTGTCATGGTAACAGGATAATTTTTTAAGAATATTCTTACAAATGAAAAATCGCCTAAAAATATCACTTTTAATTACAAAATTATTAATTTCCCAACATAAATATATGTTAGGTATGGTATGTTTTTATACGTAATATAAGCCTCAATTTAAGGTAAATTCAACCACAAACGCTTCGCAAAACGTTTTAAAGTCACTAGTGTTCTTTATAAAACTAAACTGCCTTTTAAAATGGCTTTATCGATAAACTTTGAGTTTGCAATAAAATGATTTAAAATTCTCGCTTGCAAATAACTTTGCTTTCTTTTTTATTTAAAAAATTCAATATCATAAAAAAGGGAATCAATATTAAAGATACACTGAAATTATATGCTGTCTTGTTTAGTTGTTTCATATACGTAAAGGCCGTCGGGTTTTAAAGCCATTATAAAGTCAATATTTAAAACAAACTTACCTTCGTTAACGTCGGCTCCCTTCTTTTAGCCGATTCTTTCGCAGTTTCTTTCTCAGAGAGCTTTTGAAATTTACAAAATCTTGCAAAAATGCGAGCAAAATGAAATATATTTGCAAGAAATTTATCAATCATCAAATCAAGAAATGTTTGCTATTTCGCTGTCGTCATGCACTCGTTATAATGCAAACTTTAAATTGGACCAATCAGTGTCCGTTATTCGTGACAGTCCGCCATATTTTTGAGTTCAGTGAGGATGACCACCCACCCAACACCGTTGGTCACCCACGCCCGCGATAATTGATGAACTTTAGACTCCGCTAATGCTTTCGTTTCCGCTGGTGTAAATAGCCGGGGGGAATTAGTACCCTCGCACGCAGCTTCGCGCCGTCGGCTCGGGGATTAGCTTACAGTAGTGTTTATTTCCCAAACCGGCATGATATATTTTTACAACTGGCCAAACACATGCGAGATCAAATCCTGAACCTAATCAAGTGTGGAAGTGGGATTTGCAGTCGATGTGACCAGGGCCGTACACAGTGGGAGGGGCAGGGCCGGGCAACGTCCCCCTAGAGAAAAATATATGATGACAATGTCATCCCCGAGCCAACGGCGCGGATTGCCGTTCCGGGCGTAAGCCCGGGGCGAGGGCACTAATCCCCCCGGCTATATACACCCGGGGAAACGAAAGCATTAGTGAAGTCTAAAGTTCATCAATGATCGCGGGTGTGGGTGATCAACGATGGGTGGTCATCCTCACCGATCTCAAAAATATGGCGGACTGTCATCAATAGCGAACACTGATTGGTCAAATTTAAAATTTGCATTATAATATAACGGCTGCATGACGACAGCGAAATAGCAAACATTCCTTGATTTGATGATTTCGTGCAAATATATTTCATTTTTGTAAGATTTTGTGAATTTCAAAAGCTTTTTAA